TAGATAGATATATATATAGATAGATAGATAGATAGATAGATATGAACATATCAGAATAAAATACATATAGACGGATTTTCTTACTAAAGAATCGTTAAATACAATACCGAATTGGCCCTGAAGGAAGATCGTTATTAAATGATGTTTTTGTATACGAATAGAAGGATACCTAGCTAGCTAGCTAGCTAGATAGATAGATAGATAGATGATTTTTTTGATTTTTTTTTTACTAAGAACGAGTTTCGCTTTCCTTAGGTAGATAGGTTGACGCCTTCACGTTAGAATAAAAGACAAATCTTTGTGTGTGTGTGTGTGTGTGTGTGTGTGTTCATATTAAAACCGTTAATATCCGTTTATTATGTATTCCTCTTCCGGTTGGGATGAAAGTAAAAATGTACTTTTTTTTTTAGCCGAAACTAGCCCATTTTGAGCAGTTCCCGGTTACAACCCCACGCCTCCGGTTTCATTGTGCATTTTACTGCTGTTGCCATTGCAATGATCGGCGAAATTATGTAGGAGTTTGGTCTTAGGTTTATGTCGGGAACTGCGCACTGGCAGTACTTCTTATGTTTTGATCAAATACATATTTACTAAGTCGAAATTGTAGCCAGATTTGTTCCAAAAGGCTATATAAAAAACAATTAAAAGACGCTTTTCCACTTTCCTAACTTCTCCACTTTTGTTTGGATTTTATTAAAACGCATATCTATATATATATATATATATATAGAGAGAGAGAGAGAGAGAGAGAGAGAGAGAGAGAGAGATATAATGTATAAAATCGAAGAAAAGAAATTATCGTCAAACACACCTCTAAAAATTTAACATATAAATTTATTATTATTATTAAAATAATTTTCTTACAATATTTACGCTGAAAAAAGATTATAAAGTTCCACGTTCACTTGTGTCTTAGAACTGTGTTTAGGGAAATAAACACAACTAAGTTTCATGAGGAAATGTATTGTATTTTTACAACGTAAATGAATAAATGAATCCTGTGAGTATGAATAGTAGCTCATATATGGGATTACTAGCAGCATGGCCCGGCGTTGCCCGTGCTTGATTCAAAAATCGTACAAATCATACAGCAATCACTATCACTTGACTTGAAATATTTTTGGCCTTCCTTGCCTTTAATGGAGTGCCCTTTGCCGTGCTGATGTTGCTACATGCCTTACTTCTTTCCTATCTCACACTGCGAAATTTTTCCAAGCTCTATACTAAACATTAAATCTGTTACGAAAAAAGAACTAAGCAAGATGAACACAAAACCATCAGCTTTAAAAAAGGTCTCGTAACTGGAAAAACCGAATGAAAAAAGAATGTTAACAACAAATACTTTTTCACACCTAACCCGGTTCTGCGGAATCAGAATCAATGTTGAGTTTAAGCAAGCGAATGAGCCAATTGGAGTAAAGTGCCATGCAGATTTAAATTTTGCCCACTTTTGACGAATGCAGCTATCGATTTTTTTTTTTTTTTTTTGGCATGCTAGTTAACATTCGTGTCAGTCAGCTTTTTGCTCTCACGCTGGCAAATAGAATCTTCCTGTCTATTCGTGGCAGCCAGCTATAGGCTCTCACTCTAGCCAGTAGAAAATGGCCGCAAACTACATGAAAACTGCCGTAGAAGCATGAAAAAATCGATTATTTCCACTATCGATGGGAGTTGGGAAATGCAAAGTTGGTGTTGGCCTTCCCGCTAACTTGGAGCGTGTGCATATAAATTTTGGTGCAAATCTGTCGCAAATTGCGGCCGTGCATTCGTTACACACACACACACACACACACATATCCTGCATTTTATAGATAGTGATTACACAAGAAACCCAAATCTACGCTCTGTTATGTGTGTGTAGTGTAATGTAGCAGAAAGAATAAACTGTCAGTCAATCAGTTAAATATCAGCGCAATTATGGCCGAATATGACTCATGATAACTAAGCCTGAAATATGTAATGTTTTGTCGCTTTGTGTTTTTCGTAATATAAACCGTGCAAATTGTTTCGTGAAAATACTTTTTAAGTTAGTAATATTTTTACAATACGAACTTTAACACTCAATATTTTTTTGTGGAGTCGCAAGCTGAGAAATCAATATTATTCACATGCTGGTAGAAGTATACTGAGGATTAGTTTATTTATTTCAGTTATGCTATTTACAGAAAGATTTCGGATCACAGGAAGTTAAAAGATTCATTTATTAAACTTGGAAGTTTTATTGGTTAGTAAATATATTTCCCAATTTTTAATGTTTATTTTGAGAAAGGAAAAGAATTTTAGTCATTTTCCTGGATGTGAGCTTTCATTTTTTTTAGCATACTGCAAAAAAATGGTCACCTGCTTTTTGAAAGAATTTAAGCTGCGTTTCAAGCAGTCTCCTCGATTGATCAAGAATTACTAACGAGGAAATTTGAATTTGATATTTCTAGGTGATCCTATTTTTTGCAAACAATTGAGTTTATATCTCTGTGTTCCTACTACATATATATATATATATATATATATATATATATATATATATATATATATATATGAGAGAGAGAGAGAGAGAGAGAGAGAGAGAGAGAGAGAGTAGGTTTAACTCTAACTCAAACTGCTTTTTTTTGCCCTCCTCTCCGCCTCTACCTCTCATCTTCATACTTTTTCATTAACTCCGCTTAGTTGAGTAATACCAACCTTACGGCAAGCTCGGCTATCTTTTCCCTTCTCAGCCGAGGCCAGTGTCTTGATAAGTTTGCTTTGGGTTTGCCATCATCTTGAGATATTGTGATAAAAGACGAAATATAGCGTGGACCCTTGTTTTGTATAGCCCCCCTCGTTCTGGGGATGGGGTCTCTTAGTTGACGGTCGTTAGACGATCATGATGAAGTTGCCATCCTCTCTTTCTTCTCTCGACCGGGTGATCGCTAGTTGCTTTGTTCGGAGGTAAAATGAGAACTTCAACAAAAGGAATTTTGACTTACTACTTTATTAAACCCGTCGACGTATACATATATATATATATATATATATATATATATATATATATATTTAACTAGACAGTGGGGTCGCTCTATACACCCGACTGGAGAGCAAGTTCCCCGCACGCAAAATTAACACGTCCTGTATTCTTCAACGCGTAAAACTTAACCCACTGAAAACACTTTCTAAATCTAACATTCCCACGTTCGGCTCAGCCAATCAAAATCGATATCCCTATTTTGTCTACCATCTGACCTTAAAGGTCAGATTCAGAAGGTCTGAGCCAAAATATACTGCCACTAAAAAATAATAGCCTGAACCTATTATTTAACATTCTTTACCTAACCATAAAAAATCATTTATAAATTTTATTTCAACATTTTATTTAACACATGTATCTTCGTTGTGTACCGTAGTTAAGAATTAATAATTCTCTACTCACAGCCGTGGTAACTTGTGTCTCCTTGTGTCTACGGGCAACTTCGGAATTAAGTTGGAGTAAGAACGCCAATAAAATGCGCAACACTGTCGATAACTCTAGCAACGGCTTTATTGAATTTTAAAGAAAAAAACTCATTGAATAAAATGTCTCTAATATCTACTGCAAAATCAAGATCTCTACTTCCGGATGGTGATTTTAGAAATCTTGTCGCAAGAGCTAAAGTAATAACCAGTCACTCAATAAATTCTTCAAAGTAATAACCAGACAGCCGACTCTTACTCTGTTCTTCTATCATGCATGTCGCTGTATTTTCGATCCGACCACAAGAATTGCGGCTGTCTTACGAGCAATACTGAACATCTCCACGCCGATGTCCCATAGGGCTCGTCTCCATATGTGTATCCGGGCCTGAAGTGTTCTCATTCATGAAGACGACTCTTCCTTTACCACAAAAAAGTTGGCATTGATATATTTAATTTCTCCATCCCGACCGTCTTAATCTTTGGAAATCTGTAAATAAACGCATGGATTTCGTTGCTGTTTTTAGAAGTTCCTGTTATCTCTTTCTGTAAAGAGAATGGTGTTTTGTGGCGGTCAGCATCAACACAATCAAATCATATTTAAAATAATTTGGATCATTACATTCTATAAAAACAGGTTCTTTTTGGACAGATAGTCTAATGTAAACATATCTCCAGTTGTAATTTCTCAGGACCAAAGAAATTCGAACAACACATTAACCATGTTTCCTTCTTCTCACCGAAAAATAGATAGTGTGGGAACACTTGGTTTTTCTCATTTTACTGAATCTTGACTAGTTTGATTCACCTTGGAACTGTTCTTAAATTCATTTTATTATTTTAGAACATAAATTTTAACCTGTTTCTTTTGTCATATTCTTTCCCAAACATCAAACTCCTCTCCTAGGAATTTTTTATAATTATTATCAACATCCTGCAATTTCTGTCTATGTTTCTGAGATGAGGTACATTATTTACATTATTCGGACTATTGACTTCATCTCATCGGCCTTCTTCAGATGTCTGGAATGTCGTTCAGTTCGACACTCCAACCACCTGAAGAAGGCCGGAGCGTACAACGGCCGTAACGTTGTAATAAATATGGCGACAAAGATGAGGACAATAGTTCGAATAATGTAAATAATCCTGCAATTTCATGCAATTAATCATTTAAACAACAAACTTCTATTGTTGA